CAACCATATCATCTCCTTGCTTGCCTCTGTCACCGCAACATATTCAGCCTCTGTCGTTGATAAAGCAACGATCTTCTGCAACTGAGAAATCCAACTAATAGCTGTAGAGCCCAAAGTGAATACGTATCCTGTAGTGCTTCTTCTCTGGTCTATTTCACCAGCATAGTCTGCATCAACAAAACCCTGCAGAACTAACTTGCCTCTTCTGAAGCATAAACAGTCATCTATCGTACCTCGCAGGTATCTAAGAATCCACTTCACTGCTTCCCAGTGTTGCTCTCCTGGATCTGACATAAATCAGCTCACAGCTCCCATTGCATGGGCAATGTCAGGTATCGTACATACCATGGCGTACATAAGGCTTCCGATGGCTGAAGCATAAGGAACCTTAGCCATGTAATCTTTCTCTTCATTAGTCTCGGGGCACTGCTCCTTAGTCAATCTGAAATGACTAGCTAACGGTGTGCTGATGGCCTTAGCACCACTCATCCCGAATCTCTCAAGCACCCGTCGAATATACTCGGCCTGAGATAGTCGTAGTGTGCCTAAGAGTTTGTCTCTGCTGATCTTCATTCCCAATATCTGCTTCGCTGCGCCTAGGTCCTTCATGTCAAACTCACTCGACAGCTGCTTCTTCAGCTTCTTGATCTCTCTCATGTCTGAGCCGGCCACAAGCATGTCGTCGACATATAGGAGCAGGATGATGTAACTCTTGTCAAACTCTTTGACAAAACAGCAATGATCAGCATTGCATCTGGTGTAACCGTTCCTGTGCATGAATCCATCAAACTTTTTGTACCATTGCCTTGGAGCTTGTTTTAGGCCGTACAAGCTCTTCTTCAATCTGCATATCATCTTCTCTTTTCCTTTCTGAGTAAACCCCTTTGGCTGCTGCATATATATCTCTTCCTCTAGGTCACTGTGGAGGAAAGCTGTCTTTACATCTAGCTTCTCGAGATGTAGATCTTTAGCTGCAACAATACTCAGGACTGTTCTGATGGTAGTTAGTTTGACTACTGGAGAGAAGATCTCTGTGTAATCAACTCCTTCTCTCTGCTGAAATCCTTTAACCACCAATCTGGCCTTGTATCTCTTGGAACCATCATGTTCCTCTTTGATTCTGTTTACCCATTTGTTGCTCAAGGCCTTTTTCCCCGTTGGTAGCTTCGCAAGTTCCCATGTCTTGTTGGTGTTCAAGGATTTTATTTCATCTTTCATGGCGAGCTCCCACTTGCTCGCATCATCCACTCGAAGGGCCCCATCATAACTTTCTGGCTCTCCACCGTCACTCAACAATAGGTAGTTGAGATGAGCTTTGGGCTGTAGTGATGGGTACTTTGGATTAGGCTTGGGGACTCTAGCTGACCGCCTCAACTCTCTGACGGGCGAAGCAGGCTCTCCATCTTCATCTGCCCCCTCTGAAGTAGTCTCATCCATCAACTCTTCTTCTTCATCAGAACTAGCTTCGGGATTGCCTCCATCTGAGGCATCATCTGACTCGAAGTATGTGGGATCACGCTGTGCCGAACTAGTGGACTGAACGACATCGCGGTCTTTGTAGAGGACTGTTTCATTAAAGACCACATCCCTGCTTCTGATGATTTTCTTGTTCTGCTCATCCCAGAACTTGTAGCCAAACTCATCACCGTCATAGCCAACAAAGAAACATTTCAGAGACTTAGGATCAAGTTTGTTTCTTGCAAAATACTCTCAGGTGAGAGAGATTTACCTGCTTTCCACTCCATACTTTTTCAGGTATTTTGTGCTCCAAAGGCACTGATGGTCCCCGGTTGATCAAGTAGGCAGCTGTGTTGACTGCTTCTGCCCAGAATTGCTTTGGAAAACCTGCTTGTAACCGCATACTTCTGGCTCTCTCAGTCAATGTTCTGTTCATGCGTTCTGCTACGCCATTCTGCTGGGGTGTACCTAACATTGTCCTCTCTAATCTAATGCCGCTGTCATAACAGAACTTCTTGAACTCTGAGTCTTCATACTTGCCGCCGTTGTCAGAACGAAGCTTCTTAATGTCGCTGTCATAACAGAACTTCTTGAACTCTGAGTCTTCATACTCGCCGCCGTTGTCAGAACGAAGCTTCTTGATCTTCAAACCGGTCTCGTTCTCAACCATAGCCTTCCATCGCTTGAAGACTTCAAACACTTCTGATTTGTGTTTCATGAAATAGACCCAAGTCTTCCTCGAGTGATCATCTATAAAGGTCACGAAATATAACCTTGCGCCGGTGGATGGAACTGATGATGGGCCCCACACATCTGTGTGAACTAACTCAAGCTTCTCTTCTTTAGGAGTTCTGCCAACCCTTTTGAAGCTTATTCTCTTTTGTTTCCCTAGAATGCAGCTTTCACATAGGTCAATATCAGCCGATCTCAAACCTGGTAACTTCCCGTTCGATTGCATAACCTTTAGGCCTTTGCTACTCATGTGACCTAGCCTCTGGTGCCACAAATTTGGGTCTTCACTGCCTTCAGCCACTGCAATGGAACCTCGTGCATCTATCGTCATGTAGAGAGATCCCGTCTTCGTACCACGGGCAACAACCATGGATCCCTTTGTAACCTTCCATGTATCACATGCAAAGGTTGATACGTATCCCTCTTTCGCCAATTGTCCTATGGAAATCAGATTTTTCCTCAAGCTAGGAACATGTCTCACATCACTCAGCTTCCATGTAGACCCATTGAGCTTGATTTGCACGACTCCTTTGCCAACAATATCACAAGGCTGATCATCACCAAGATAGACTTTTCCTAGGTTTCCTGAAATGTAGTTCTCAAATAAATCTCTATTTGAGGTAGCATGAAACGAAGCTCCTGAATCCAGCACCCACGATTCAGTTTTGCTCTCCAACGAGCAGATTAGGGCATCATCAGATTCTCCTGAGGCCACGTTCGCTTCAGTCTTGTTCTCCTTGTCTTTCTTGGGTTCTCGGCACTGATTTTTATAGTGGCCAAACTTGCCACAATTCCAGCAGTCTATTTCCTTCTTGCCCTTGCGGTTCCTGGACTTTGGCCTTCCGTTCCTCGAGTTAGATCTTCCTCGGCTACTCCCTCTATTTCTGTTTCTGTTTCTTCCTCTGCCCTCAAGGTTCAACGCCGACCCTGAATTAGAAATCCCTTCCTCTTGTCTTCTTATTTCCTCAGTCATAATCATGTCCACCACCTCTGAGAACTTCAGCTTTGATTTGCCACATGATCCGCTGATCGAGATAACGGTACCCTTCCAACTGTCGGGCAATTGACCAAGTATCAAGAGGGCTTGGATTTCATCGTCAAACTGAATATTGACCGAGTTTAGTTGATCCGTGATCTCGTTAAACTCGTTCAGGTGTTCCTTGAATTTCTGGCTCTCGGACATCCTCAAATTAAACAACTTTTTAATGAGATGTACCTTATTCGCCGCAGAGGGCTGCTCATACATACTGGACAACGCCGCCATGAGATCCGCCGTCGTATTCTGATTCTTGATGTTGAACGCTACTGATTTAGACAAGGTCAACCTGATCGCTCCAAGGGCCTTTCGATCCAATAGCTTCCAATCCGCATCTTTCATATCCGTCGGCTTCTCTCCCAATGGTAGGTATAAATCCTTCTGATAGAGGTAGTCCTCCATCTGCATCTTCCAGAACCCGAAGTTTGTTCCATCAAACTTCTCAATCTTGGATGTTTCCTTCTCAGATCCCATTGTCTCTGACCTCAAATCGCTCGCGCCGAACCTGGTCGCTCTGATACCACTTGTTGGGGATGCACAACCCCCCTGATGCGATTTGGAAATAGAGATTTAGGAGAGAAGAGAGAAAATCAAACAATCTCAAACACACAAGATTTACGTGGTTCGCTTCTCAATGTGAGAAACTACGTCCACGGCCGTCGCAGGAGAAAATTCACTATTTTTCGTCACTTTACATCATGCCCTAATCAACCCTTTTATAGACTTAAGGGTTTAACAAGTAAAGAAGGAAACAGAACAAAACAGGTTAAAATTCGAAACTGGGCCAAAACCCGACTCCGGTCGACCGCAGCACCACGTGCGGTCGACCGCGACGAATCCTATTCCTGATCGAGCTCTCTGGACTTTGGGCGGTCCACCGCAGCGACATGCTCGGTCGACCGCGACGAAGACAGAACTCTGGCCTGCTCTCTGGACTTTGAGCGGTCGACCGCAGCGCCACAGACGGTCGACCGCGACGAGCTCCTGGCCTGTGCACCCAGCTGTGCACGACGTCGGTCGACCGCAAGAACTGAAAAATCTTTCTCGTCGTTTTGCTTGAACTTCGCTCGTCGTCGATCATGTTCTCCTGCTTCCAACTTTGTTCCTCCTCTCTTCTGAAGTATAGGCGCATGTTCTGATAGTTAGGCTTCACAATCCTAACATTACCAAGCATACCAATTTCTCTCTCTCTCTCTCTCTTCTCTTCTCTCTCTCTCTCTCTCTCTCTATATATATATATATATATATATATATATAATATATATATATATATATATATATATATATATATATATATAATATATATATATTATATATATATATATATATATAATATGTATGTAGAAAAATTGTATGCTTAGTACAAAACACAAAAAGTTATGCTTGGTAGTAAGGTGGTATTAATTTCCTCCACCTCATTCAAATGATTCGCATATCCCTATGTACTCATCAAGTTATGTGAATGTGGTCCTCATTTAAATACGTGGAGGGGATTTTCCACCTCACTACCAAGCACCAATTTTGTGTTTGGCTACCAAGCCATACTCATATTTCTCAATACTATATATATATAATATATATATAATATATATATATTATATATATATATATATATATATATATATATTCAATTTAGTTCAATTTTAAAAAAAATCATATCTTGGAAAATCACAACCATTTATTTAGACACATTATTTTTTATTTAATGTTTATAAGGAATTAGTATGACTGAGATTATAAAAGGCATGTTCTATGCTAATTATTTATAGAAAAAATGCAGACCATTAAATACAAATTTTATCAGATCAGTCTGCATGGTGGAATCTCTGAATTGTCCTCTTATCCTCCTGTGAATGGCTAAAAACAACAATGTTTAAATAGAATTTGTATTGCATACCATTTAGCTAGAATTCAGTAATGAAGTAAATATAATGAAATAATTCAAATTGAAATGATTATATTTAGAGAAAACGATGCGTTGACATATGATTAACTTGTTATTATAGATTTCTGATGAGATGAGGCCTCATCCAATGGTGAGTAATTTTTTGACTAAGCTTTGCAAAATTATCCCAACATGGAAGATAATACCCACTGAAGACATCGTTGATAAAGCCTTCAAAAGCGCGGAACGGAGGAAAGAGGCAAGGAAGGAAAAGAAAAAAAAAGTTCCATAAATTTCTGAAAATTATTTCAACTTTTATAAACTTTTGATAATATAATTCAGGTCCGCAATAATCCATACTGCTACAAAGGCAAGCCACGACTAAAGACAGGCCACGAGCTCGTCAGGGTTAGCGCAGACATTGAGAGAAACCTAAACCAAGTAAAATTAACTCCACCTTTTTAGCAATCATTTTATTTTATTTAAATTTTATTTTTGATTTAAAAAATTATGTTAGGTATTGTTACCATTCATAATTGTTCACGGTGGAGATGACACTGTTACAGACCCATCTGTGAGTCAATTACTATATGAAACTGCTTCGAGCACAGATAAGACTTTCAAGCTGTATCCAGGAATGTGGCATGCGTTGACATGTGGTGAGCCTCAGGAGAATATTGATCTTGTGTTCTCAGATATAATTGTGTGGCTTGATCAGAGATCAATGGTGACAAATCTTAAATCCGAGTTAGAGCGCAAGGCCGTTCATGATCCACAACTCCTATATTCAAAATATTAGTGTGACACATGGTGAGTTTGAAATGGGCTTTGATGTAATGATATGTTCCTACGCAAATGAGGCTATTTGTATGTGTGCAATAAAATGATTTGTGAATTGTGACAATAGCTATTGAAATAAATAGTGAGTAGACAGCGTTTGATTATAGTGTTTCCATCAAGTCGTTACTAGATTTGGTACATCCTTGTTATTTCTTTCATGCCGAGGTAAGATGATACGGACAGCGATCTATATTATTTATTCGATTTGCCATGTCACCCTTGTATATAGATTGTGCTAATATTTCTGAGTAACGATTCTATCAGAACATTGCCGAAGGTGTGATTTAAATCTTATATTTGGACTAAAGGGGACCAATTTGGTCTTTTTATTTGTCCTTTTATTTGGTTTGGATCGTCACGTATCATGGGAGATGTTTTGATAGAATTGGTGCTCTCTATATCGGTCCAATCCATTTTGTTTTACAACTCTTTATAGACTTTCATCCTTAATTAGTTATTTGACGCAGACTACTTTACCAGACAATTCCTAAATAAGAATAATATATTCAATGAAGTAACTTTACTTTCAGTTATGAAATATGTACGTACCTGACGTTGATTCATATCCAACGGGTTTGAAAAGTATTGACTATTTACAATTTTTGAAATATTTTATTTACGTGATTAAGATTTCTTGTTTTGTTTGAATTGACTTTTAGCATAGAGGCAACGGCAATTGCTGAGTTGGCGATTAGTTTTAGCAACGAGACAAGGCAAATTAAGATCCAATTAATTAGACAAAAGACTAGAGAGGAGTCAACACAATTTATTAGGCTGTGCCCTTTTCTTTATTTTATTTTTATTTTTCGAGAGAGAGTACGATACGTCACGTCCACACATTAGCAGTTCAAATTTTATCAAAAAACATCGGCAAGAATGTTTGAAAATTTTAATTGTTTTCTTTATTTTTTTCAAGTCAACTCATTCCCATAAGAGTTCTTCAGGTAAGATTTGCATGCTTTGTTGACATGACCACATGTGATCATTGATGCACGAGGAGTTGGAGAGAAAGAGAGAACAAATGAATATAGATCCTTAAAAATTCTATGCATACAAGCGGGGTATTCTGAACCAAGAAGTAAACGGTGAAATTTTCAAATTGCCAACCGTACTCAAGAAAAGAGGTTAGAGGAGGAGAAAATTCTTACGTGCTCAAAGTGACGTATACCAACCCAATAGGAGGAGGCCGCGTGCTACCATGTGCAAATAAAAGATAAATGAACCACAAGAGATGAAAAGGTATGATAAGAATATTCAATTAAATTAACAAGAATACATTATATATTTTTACAAAAATATACTCATGTTAATAGAAAATCAAATTAAATGATTAAATTCCCTTGTCTAATGGTGTCGGGGGGAAAAAATGGATCAGGATACAGCACGGGGGTAAATGGTAAAGTAACAACATTTGGAAAAAATTTAAAAAAATTATTTTCGTTTATGGACCGCTTACTCTGGCCCAACAGGCCTAATCGAAAAAGCCAAGCCCAGTTGTGAACTGAGAATGAAGATGCGAGATTTCTAATGTGTAGTTTTTATAGGTATATTGTAGATTTCTTAGGTATATTTTATCTGAAAAGAATATAAGGGAGAGATGTAGTTAGGACGCTAATGGAAAGAGAATCACAAGAGTTTAATAAAACTAAACAATGAATATTTAAGTACATTTATTCTGAAAATGAAGTATATTCGAATTCCATTATGTAAGAACATAATTGTAGAAGTAGATCAATAGTGGTTTCTTACTGCAAGATTCTGTGGGCTTTTAAAGGAATTCATCTATGGAGGCCTTAGTCCAGCCCAATAGGGTAAAATGCCCACCCCAACAACAATTGAGTCAGCAGGACGAGGAGGCAAGTTCTCCAACAATTTCACTCAGGGTCTATCTGCAAATTTGCAACAATAAGTTTAGAGGGGTAGTAAGTTCAAACAGCGAAACTATAAATGGTCTATCCGCAATTAACCCAAAAAAATTTTAAATACTTGTATCAACACGCACTTGTTACTCTTACACTCCTCACTTATATAGCTAATCGACTGAGATAATGCATTGTCATCAATGTCATAGACTAAACCAACTTGGTTAATTAAACTCTCCTTTAACTATTTTCGCATCTTTTTGTTAGTTCTATATAACTTAAGTGGGTGTGGCACTCTTAAGAGCAATCAGCATATAATCTATTTTAGTAAAGTTAGGTGGACAAGTTTGGCGAATAAAAATGAAGCACAGTTACACTAAGAGCCCGTTTGGATAATGAAAGTATTAGAAGTAAAAAGTAGGTTATAGAAATAACTTTCAAAATTATGAAGTAGAAAGTAGTGGAAATAGAATTTTTTTTGTTTGTTTCATATATTTTTAGAAGTAATGGAAGTAGAACTTCTTCCTCTTCATTTATTTTTTTTTGTTTGGATAACATTTGGAAATATTACTAGGAAATAATTTTATCAATGAAAAGTTGATAGAAGTAACTAATAAAGAAAATATTCTAAAAAATTATTTATTTCCTAATTAATATGCATTTCAACTACTTCCGAACTACTTCTAAGTATTGAGGATTGCAAAAATATTTTAGAAATAAGGATGACACGTAGGCGCCGTGTAAGGAAGCATTGGAAGTAAGTGTTTCAAAGAACCAAACATATTTTTTTGTTTGGAAGTAGCAAAAGTAGCATCTACTTCTTTTATTTCAACTACTTCATAATTACTTCGGTGCAAACAAACAGGCACTAATAACTAATTAATAAAGACATATAACAACGTGAACAAACATAAACTCTTCCCATTTCGCAACATCAATGCAGTCAAAAACACTAGAAAACTTACAGGCTTTTGTGGTCTGTTGAAAAAAAAATACATTTGAACCCTGCAGCACACATACACTCGTAGCAAAATAGACCGCAAATTTACATCTTTTTTTCAATTCTTTTCTTTCATATTTTCTCCTTCTGCTGAAGTCATCGAGCACGTGATGACCTTAAAGACATTGCAAGCATTACTCAATCTCACATTCATGCTTCACTAATTGAAAGACTAACCTAAGATGAACTCTGAGATAAGTTCTTCCAGAAGATCATCCTTCAGCATCCCTTCAATCTCTTTTCCTATTGTATCAAGCTCGTATCGAAAATCCAACCATCTCGGATCTAAAATACTCTCCTCTGATTTTCCTGCACTCGAATCATTCCTCAGTCTGATAACCATTTGCCAGACCTTTTCAACTAGCCTCTCATGGTCCCAAACTGGGCCAAATTTTCTCTTTGGATTCAACCATGGCTCTTCGTCCGTCCAAGGAGATAAAGTATCTTCTAGAATCAAACTAACAACATCAAACAGTAACTTTCTTTCTGATTTAGACCATTCTACGATGACTCCATACTTCTCTTCAAGATTTTCAAATACGTCAAGGTCCTCTGGGTGTTTTAGAAAGCAACAAGTGTTCGCAAGGCTATCTAAGCCCAAATTGGTCACTATGTCAAGTAGGTATGAATAATCTCTATCCTCTTCATTTTCATAAATTTGCAGCATCTGTCCATTCTGAGGAGGGGAGTTGCACTCTCCAGTACTTTCACATTCTGTGTTGTAAGTATCAGATTCCAACCTGAGAAGTTGCAGTTGCATTCTGAGTCCTGCCAACCAATAACAGAATGGTGGAGTTCCAAAATTTTCAGGCAAAGAACTGTTATGAGAGAGATATATCAAATAGGCTAATAGCATGTTGATTTATTTACCTTGGAGATGAGTGTTGATTTTCTCGAAGCATTCTGGGCTTGACTCACCTTCTTCTAACTGATGCTCCAGAACAGAGACAGGGCTTGGTTGCTTAGCATCAACGGAGCTTGTAAGCTCACATTCTGCTCCACCGCACTGAGTAGAATCTACTTGAGGATGGTCAGGTGATGACTCCTGGAGATAGTCAGGTGATGTCTCCTGGATATAAATAATGATCTATTTAGCAAGATTTGTTTTTATTTTTATTTTTCTTTCAAAAGCATCAGCCAGAATTCAATTTTCTAGCTAATTAAAAGGTATGGACATAATATTGGGCAATAACTGGTTTCTAAAGTCAGCCAAACAACACAAAGTGCACAAAGTTACAAACAAAGATTGTCGATAATTTATGTGCAGCTACAAATAATTGATCGCCCATATGCTATAAGCACAAAGTATAAAAGCACAGGAAAAGGCCAGTCTCTACCGAATTCTGAAGTAAAAGGTAAAAATTAAATGGCATAAGAGGTCGACTGACATAATCCTATAAGTACATGCAATACCTAAATCAATAACATGCACCCAAAAATAGAATAAAGTTAGTATAAGTAGGTCACAGAATTACAGATAAAGCTAAAGAGTGTTTGATACGTTAGACATGACAGGACACGAGCTAAGTTTCGAACTTTACTTTTATAATTAAGGCAAGTGATGTTATGCTAATAGAAACTCATAAGCATACCTCTACAATTTCATGAATGCGGTTGGTGCAAGAAGATTCTCCCATATGCACTGGTTGCTGTACATGTTCCTCGCTAGTTATGAAAGGTCTTTCTGCATCTATTGACTCTGTGAATGAAGAACCGCCATCAAGGGTACTAGTGTCGGCAGTAGTGTCATCAGAGAGCTTAGACATCAGAGTCACTGCAGAAGGGTCAGAAATTTGAATCACATTCTTTAATTCTTTCTTGTCAACACGAATCTCTCTTATAGGTAGCTTATTTTCCTCGCCAGCAGAATTAGATCGAATCTTGTAACTTCTAAACTTAGAGCTCTTTCGTGATATTCTTCTCTGATTTAAATTCCCATGGGAGTAGTCAACAACTCCTAAGTTGAGAACATCTTTAAGCATATAACAGTTATCACCATCAGTAACTTGCTGTCTACTGGATTTTGGAGCACTACGAGAAGATGAAGCTGGAAGAGATGAAGATCTAGGTAAATTTGTGGAGAGTTTGTCCTTGGAGCAACGTTTACTGCTGATACCAGTAGAGCAAAACTGAGAACCAAGCATACCTCTAGCCAATTCATAATCTGAAACTTTCTGTACTCCGTATGAATCCAGAACATCTCGTGGTCCTCTTTTATCAGGTATAGCAAGCATTTCAGCTAAAGTACTTGGTCCTCCACCATTATACCTTGCCTCCTTTTGGTTGGTCATCCTCCATTGTGCAGATAGCCGTTTTCTTGCCTCCCTCTTCACAGATGACTCAATTGAAGAAGAAGTAGAGGCGCTTGAGGCTCTACTCCACTCATCAAAGTTGTCCCTCCTTTGGCATGTCCCAGAGTTTTTTGGGTCAAATGAGCTTCCACCTTTGATGTGCCTATTGAACCCAGAATCAAGCATTCTTTCTGAACCACTGCTTACCGAGCGTTTCATTTGTTTTGTAACTTCTCTAGCAATTTCTCTTGAACCCTTTACTCTCTGCCCCATAACTTCTAGATTAACAAACAAATTCTGCCGCTCCCTTTCTTCAGCGTGTAATTCCTGAATTCCAGAATGCTGATATTCATTGTGCCTGATGTAACCAGACAGATTATTCTCATGGGAATTAATTGATTCTGAAACATTTCTTACCATGTCCTGGGCCTTTTCCAGGTTTGGCTTTAGAACGACAATCCTAGTGGATCGAGCACTAGACCTATTTTTGCCTGCGTTTCGTGACTTCAACAACTTGTGTGAAAGAGATCCACTGTGTTCTTTGAGCAGGTGATTGAAAAGGTTGGTATTTGACTTTCTTGAAGTGCTTATAGAATCTTTTTGCATTTGAGCGCAATTTCCAGACATTACCTCTGATTTACAGTGTGCAGAATCCTGTTTAGATTTCAATGGCCTTAATAACGTGATGTGATCTTCATGAAGAGCTGGTGAAAAACCCTTCACATCATGTAGATTCTTCGTGAACAAAGAATCAGGCTCATCAAGAAATTTTAGAAAAAGATCTTTATTGGAATCAAGCACTTCTATTGCATCGCCGAACTCCTTGGAACTTTGAAGAGTTTCATCAGTCGAGAGACGCTTTGCTTCCATGAACTTTTGCCTTACAAAGGCAACATCAGTATCACCTTTGTATGGATGTAAATCTCTCTTAAAAGCTGGCTGGAGTTTTCCTTTTTCAACTTTCATTGAGTCCTCAATTTCATAGACATCTTTAAATTCCTGATGCTCATTGGTGTTCATCCCAAGTGAACAGTTTTCATAAGATGTATGTGTTGTTTTTGATAAAGAGTAACTAGGCTCCTTCTGTTGTTTGTCAACTGCTTGTGAAGGGGGCAGGGAATCAAGACCCATCAATTTTGCAATAACACTTGGTGAAGACTGGCTTACTTTCCTTTCTCTTGCCATTTCCTCATGTATTAGTGTTTTGATTGACATTGCACTAGCTCTTTTAGATGAACTTCGGGGAGGCTCAGAGCCAACCTGGAGAACAAAGAGTTTTCACATCATATACAGGCTATACAGCCAATAAATGGTTTCAGACCCACCAGCAAGTATAAAATGAAAAGTACGTTGATTTCTATCTTAAAGGTGAGCGAAACAAGAGAAACGGTTATCATTGATGCTATTGTTTATTAGCCTAACATATCAGTACCAAAATTCATAGAATCTTCGTTGGAAACATTGATCTGCTCTGCTCAAACAACGCAATAATTTTAAATCTTATGACGACAAAGCAAGACCAGAAAACCACTGAACATGCGAGATACATCAAGTCATTTTTAGGGTAGTCTAAACCTCTTGGCAAACAACTCATGCAATGAAAGCACTTACCCAATGCCCTTCAAGTGGGGGTCGATTGATATAATTTGAAGTGCTTGTTTTATTTTTCAACTGTCTATTCCCTGAAAAATGTATCCTCTTGGTATTAGATAAAGTCTCATGGCTAATGAGAAAACTTAAGAGCCCAACAGATACAAGCATCTAATTTGGAAAGCATACAAAATAAAATGTCAAAAAAAAAAAAAACTAGTCCAGGTAATTTTCTTGAAAACTTAGAACAAAATTGAATTAAAAAACGTCGATACTAGAAATCCTGCAAACGCATAGAGTTCTTCCCAGTTGAGAGTTAACTTATAAAAGTAAGCTTCCGTAGAACTCGGTCAATCTAGTGTCATTCTTCCTAGTGATTTCATAAAAGTGTCGTTGAGGAAGCTCATACTCAGATGTAATAATTTACACTGCTTAGCTTCAAAGGGAAAATAACCGGCGTGGATATATTGGCGAGCTTATCTAAACACGGGCTATCAAATTTGATGGCCGTGGCTGTTATCGGTGTGATTAGTGCTATAATCACAAGAGTTCTATAATTGGAAAACTTTTATATTGTTTTCCTTAATAGTTTGCTCATATAATACTCCCCATAATAGCATCAACATAAAAGTGAGCATTATTAGATGATGAAATGCCTCAATTACATCAAACGCCTCTTCGGCTTCTCTTTACAACTCAAAAGATGGGAAGAATCTACTTTTAGAATTAAAAATCATATTACAGAGGGATTTTACATCATCAATAAGTACTGAAAAGACTAAAAAAAACAATAACTAGCTGGAATAGGCTCACTAACCACAAAGATTCGTACACAAGAAAAAAATAATAATAATAAAATAGAGAACAAAGAAGATGGGAAAATAAGCATATCAAAATTTAAAAACAGATATCTTTTCTGATTTATTTCAGCTCAGGATAGCAATTAATTCAAAAAAATTCCGATTTCGTCTCCCATAAGAGGGGAGAAAAAAGGGAAAGCGCCACAAAAATGGAAAGAAATAGCTGGATAAAAACCCATAATCAGTTCAAAACAGATCGAACCGAACCTTCGACTTGTGCTCGCCCGATCGTTCTCCTCGCCGATCCGCCACCGTGCCGCTGCTGAAATAAGTCCATTCCCTCCGCCCAAAAAATGAGAGATCTTTGTGGAGAGCGGAAGTCGGGGGTCGAAACCCTAGAAATTGGGAAATTTTTGGAGGAGGAGATGACGGTGTTTTGCTTAAAAAGGGGGATGAGAGAGAGAGAGAGTTTAGTTTTAACCCGCTACTGTTAATTTTGAACTTTTGAAATTTTGCTTTGTATACTGTGCTGGAGAGTAGAGGGAGGAGGATCTCGGGGCGGGATTTTCCTTCTCGCGCGGATCACGTGAGGGAGTTCAGTGGGGTGAACATGAATTTTTCCATGTTTTTATTAGGGACCTTTTCGATATGGAAAATGATAGGGGCACACCCCCAACCACAATTCTAACCACACCCTCTCTCACATTTGCTACAGTGCACCGTTTGCTTTGTATACTGTGCTGGAGAGTAGAGGGAGGAGGATCTCGGGGCGGGATTTTCCTTCTCGCGCGGATCACGTGAGGGAGTTCAGTGGGGTGAACATGAATTTTTCCATGTTTTTATTAGGGACCTTTTCGATATGGAAAATGATAGGGGCACACCCCCAACCACAATTCTAACCACACCCTCTCTCACATTTGCTACAGTGCACCGGGCCCCACATGGGATTTTAAAATTTTAAAATCCCATGTGGGGCCCAGTGCACTGTAGTAAATGTGAGAGGGGGTGTGGTTGAAGTTGTGGTTGGTGGTGTGCCCCTAGTACCACTCTTTCGATATTAGTCCCCTGCGTCTTTAATTTTTCGCAAGTGTCCCCAACATCTTCATATTTTGAGAACATCCCCTCAAATATTTTTAACTGCTTTGAAATCGGTCTTCCATGGACCATATCTTCATATTCTCAAATTTGTTTCCAAATCTCGTAGGTGTTTGGTAAAGAGTTAAAGAGAATGATTAATGTACTTAGCCCATTCGATAACCTGAATGACTAAATTATTAACCCGTTAAATAAGTTTTATTTTAGCATTTGTGATTAGTTTTAGTGTTTGAGAATAACAGTGATTTTGACTATTTTCTTTATAATTAGAAGGGTTAACTCTTAATCCTTTGAAATAGAAGTATTAATAAACCCCTCATTTTGAGGGATTAACTCATTTTAATCCCTTTAGAGGAGTTAGCTTAACTCTTCTATATTTTTTTATGTTTGGCAAATTATGGAGGGTTAACTCACTTTAACTATTGTATAGATTTTTTATGTTTGGCGGGTTAAAAAATGGTTAAGTCTCCTTAACCCCTCACTTAACCATTTGCCAAACGGTAACTTAAAGTGTTAAGGATAATGCTAACTGTGCTATTTAACTTACACTACTTTTTACAATATAAAAGGGAAAAATATGGGCTCCCTTCATGAGTTACTAGTTTTTTTTAACTAAAGACTTTAGATCCGATACGTCATCTCTCTTATATTAAAACTAGTGTGCACATGTACAAAGCATGACTCCTTCTTTTTTTAAACACTGTATTTTGAACTTGCATCCCTCTAAGTTTTAATATATTTGATTTAATTATTATTTGCTTAAGATAATCATATCTATTCATCTACACTAAAAAAGGATCCAAGTTTTAATACATTTGATTTGGAAATAATATATACTCTTTTATACTTAAAAAATAATCCATGTTTTAATACATTTTATTTGTTTTACTGTTCACAATATAGTAATAATGTAGAAAGAATAGTAACTTCGTATATGACAGTTTATACCACAGTAAATTACTGTAGCAATGGTAACTTCGGGCGCAAGGCATATTTGTTTTGATGCTTAAGCAGTAGTAATTTTTTACTGTAGCATTTAGTCACAGAAACAGTGAAGCTTTGGATTACTCCATTTAAATCAACTAAAAGAGGACTATTATCAAATTTGTATTAAAGACTTGAGAGCTAACATTGAAATAACCCTTTTGGTACTTGTTGTCTCCTTCTTATTGATTGACTCGATAGGATTCTGTCAATCAGAGCTGTTTGTGTGGGGTCTACACGTTTGGGTTTTTTTGTCTGTTGACGTGGAAAAGGGTTGGCGTTGATATCGGACGTAATCGCACGTGACGACGAAATTGGGTGATAGTGACGTGGAAAAGGTCAGAAGCATACTAAATGTGCCTCCGCGTTATTTGTGGTGCTTGCGATCCTGAAAATGTGCGGATAAAACTAGGTGATCTACTATCTTTTGTCTCCGGATAACACTTGGATTGAACAATTTTTCAAAACAGCCTTTTTTTGCCACGTCAGCTTAATAACTTTTCTAAACAGTCGGGGTTACCAACCCTGACTGTTTAGGATATAAATTTTTAGGGTTGTAAGGCTTCTAATTGGGGTTTAACACCCTCCTAAATAGTCGGGATTGACAACCCCGACTGTTTAGGAAAGTGATTAGGCTGACGTGGCACAAAACAAATCAGTTTTGGGAAAAAAAACGGTCGATTTAATTTTTTTTTGAAACGGGGCTGTTTTGAAAAATTGTTCCACTTGGATTACATTTCTAAGAATTCTTGTGCATTCAAGTGTTCTTGAAAAATTCATATTGAAAATTTTATTCGTTTTGCGATGTATATTGAATAGAATTTAATTATATTTAATCCGAGTATCTTTCTCTGTTTGAACCATCTGATAGTAGTGAACTAGATCTTCTCAAGATAGTCTTTTTTCTAACTTAACAAGATCCCTCGGATGTTAAATTGAAGGATAAGGAGAAGGGTAATACAAAAAGATAATTATCAATGATGAAATTTGAGCGAGAGAAATTGGTTAAGCTAAATAAATTTGTTGAATTCTAACCGGGCTTAAAATTCAACATACCTATTAAATTTAGTGACAAATTGGGATGTAATATGTTTCTCATTAGAATTCTTTGAAGTATGCATATATAGCATATAACATGCATTTATTAGGATGTGTTTGACAGCGTCACAAAACTAGTTTTAGTGTATACAATCTTAGTCCAAAAACTAGTTTTTAGTTTAGCAATAATTTGCGTCGAAGATAAACTAGTTTTTTCCAGTTCAAATTCAAGTCTCTAAACTAGTTTTCTTTTGGACCATCTCATATATAGACCAAGTCTGGTCTAGTTAAACAAAAACTACTTCAAATTTAGTCATGTTTTAAGATTGCGGAACACTCCCTTAAGTAATGGAATAAGACTGCTTAATTGACCGGTTCAAATCGATAATGACATTTTGTTTCAAAAATAAACAAAACCCAATAATAAAATAATGAGTGGTAGGAAAAAGGATTCCATTATGCCCTGTTTGGATGGAGGGTAGAGAGGGGGAGGGGAAGAGAAATGCAGCTTTCACCTTGTTTGAGAGTTTTTTTTAAAGAGGGTAGAGAGGAGGAAGGAAGGGGAATGGAGGGTAAATTTGCTTGGTCCCCCCCCCCCCCTTTGGGGGGNAAATAAAAAAGCTGATATGTTATTAGTATAAAGTCATTTATGTAAATTTACATATATTTACTTCATTTCACCTTCATTCACCTTACTCAACTCACAAACACATATTACAATTCTCTTCCCTTCCCTTCCCGTTGTTTACCTTCCCTTCCCTTCCCTTCCCTTAGGGCCTGTTTGGATTTGTAGGGGGTGAAGGGAAGTTAAGGGAAACTAATAGTATAAAAATTGTTACCCCAAATTGGGGTGTAACCAAGGGGAAGGGAATTCCCTTCCCCTTCCCATCCCTTTCCTTCACTCAGTTTCCCTGTTTGGATTTGTAAGGGGTGAAGAGAAGTTAAGGGAAACTGGGAGAAGGGAAGGGAAGGGAAGGGAAGAGAGTTCTCTTCCCCTTGGTTACACCCCAATTTGGGGGGTAACAAATTTTATACTATTTGGGGGTGAACAAAGGGGAACTAGGGTGAATTAACTTCACCTCCTAAGTGTTCCCAAACAAGATGAATGGAGGTGAATGGTTCCCCTAACTTCCCTTCACCCTCATTCCCCTCAATCCAAACAAGCCTTTAGTAAACTCCCAAACACACCATTATTGACCATTGACCTCCTACCGCTGACCTACATGTGTAGTTTAAAGTTGTCCGCTCGCTTAACAATTTATTGAAGGAATTGCGACGTGTGGACTAAATCTCCATCTGATCTTAAGCGTTTAGTCACTTGTAATATTTTGTGATCTTTTGTTTTTTTGGTGGCGCGCCGCAAATATTTTTTGATAGAATTGTTGATATTAGTTTAAGGTGAGTTTGAGTGCTACAACAACTAAGATTTACTAAGATTATTTGTTTATTATTATTTTTGACGGTAAACTTTCCCGCAATTCTTCAGAAGGAGAATCGAGCTCTCGAGAAACCTCACAACACACTTCGGGAATTTTAGAAAATTAATTTCCTGTGGGTGTTCTTCAAAAGATACGTATCTAAAACTCTGTTGAAAGATAATTCTAACTCTAATGGGTTTGGAGTTGGTTATCCTTAGAAATTTTATTTATAGGAGTTTGGTAGTCTAAAGATAGAGTTAGGTTCATATGTTTAGGAATTAGTGTTTGCTTATTAAATGATCTTTTAGGAGTTATATTCATGTTAGAAGTGTTTTATCATGTAACTAGTAAAGGCAGTAAATAGGCATCAAACGTATACTGTAGCAAAAAAAAAACAAAACACAAAACTAGTTTCTAAATCTGGTTTAGTTTGTAAATTACCAAACGATCCTACTTAGTTCCTTCATCAAAACAAGAAAAGCCGATGCTTTAAGCCTTTAAGGCCAAATTTCTCTTCCTCTTCTTTTTAACTAGTGTGCTGTTCGTGCAAAGCACGGCGATAATTTTTTTTCACGCTACAATAATCATGTTTTTAAATGTTGCAGCAAGATTTTTTTTGAATTGCTACAATATCCCGTGTTTTTTAAATTATTACAGTATACCCGTGCTACAATATTAATACTATAGTATTTTCAAAGAACGCTACAGTTCCCACCTCTGTCACAGTAATCTTTCTTTTAAAATGCTACTGCAATAATACTGAATTTATATTTACTGTAACATTACTGTAGCATAAACAATGAATCTTGAATTCTCCCATTTGTAGGTAGTGGTAGACTTCTCACTTTTGAGAAAGTCAAATCCTTTGGAAGCCCAATACTTCTAAGCAAATGAGTCCAACTAATGCAGCCCATACTGAGCTAAGTGGGCCTTAAGTGGGTCTAGTAGCAACTTCGCGAAGTTAG